TAACTGAGATCTATCCAGAGTTATCTCTTCCAGAAGATACAAAAACTCTTGGTGAGGTATGTAAATATCAAAACATATAGGAGAAGTTTTTTTTTTCGATGAGAAAACGTTGAAAAAGTTAGTTATTTAGATTCGAAATTTTGATGCAGATTTCTGTGTTGATGCAAATACTGATCCCAAACATTTTAATGAACCAGTAATTAGTTATCCATGTCATAATGAAGGTGGTAATCAGGTATATATCAATATTCTTTGTTTATATCAAATAGTATATTTGTTTTGTTTGATGTAGTTTTTTATGTTAACCAAAATAGGTGAAATTCGTCGAGATCATGGATGTTTAGAATATAGTGGTGGAATAGCAGATATTAATAAAGATGATAAAGTTCTTGTTTTGTCATGTCATGGCAAAAAAGGAAATCAATATTGGATTTATAATGAGGTTTGTTTATGCTCAAACTTATTATCAGTCTCTCTCTCTCTCGAGGATGTAAACTTAAAACACTAGGTTTTTCAGTGGAATGAGGGCAGGCTATAAGGTCATAAATCGACTGGAAGCCTTACTGTCTTATATTAAGTGAAAGGTCACGTTGAGATAAGCAATTTGTTTTGTAATAGAACTAATTATTTTTCAACGGATAAATAAAAAGTTTGAACAAGGTCATTAGTTTGTGTTTTTGGGACCTAAATTATATTCACGACTAATCTGATATAGTGCTTCGATTTCAATCAAGAGAATGAGAGAAAAAGACTTTCGTTGTAACTAGTAAGTCATATGGTTCTCTAACACTGATAAATATCAATTTTTTTATGTAGTTCTCCTGACTTCATAACCTAACTATGATCCTAAAGAGCCCATTTTTAATCTATCAGGTACATTCAGTGTGCATCTTCAACCTATTCAATTGCAAGAACAAATATCACCATGTTTTTCTACCACTAAGAGCTGTTAACATTAGCTAAAATATCCATCAATGAAACTTTACATATCGATGAAGAAAGACGTCTAAAAGAGACACCGACAGCCACCGAAGGGTCGATTCTGGCTCTAGCTAAAAAAACAATAGTATTTCATATGTTTGCCATTCAAAAGTGCTCTAGATGAAAAAAAACCTAATACTACGTAGAATCATGTTCTGCATAAAAAACTGAGCCGACCTACGCATGTTTCGAATTTGTACCACAGCTTTTATTTTCATGGAGAAATTCGGCTTGTGCCTTCCTTAGAGAAAGGTCAAAAAAGAAGTTCATCAAAAATCTCGATTTTCTTATTTAGACAAATCCATTTTCTGACATTTCTCCGAGGAGGACCCATGATAAGTGTTTGGACGAGAAAAAAAATTTGCCATAGGTGCTTGAAACATACATAGATCGACTCAAGGTTTTCATGGTGAACATAATTGTGGTGTTGGTTTTTTTTAATTTTGAGTATCATCGAACGACAAAGACTCGACATACTATTTCATTTGTAGTCAAAATTGGTGCTTTGATGGCAGTCTGTGCCTCTTTCAGATGTTTTCTCTTATCAATATTTGAAGTATCATTTATGGACTTTGCAGTTAAACTGCAGAGCATTATGATGACAGAACGATGGGAAGTTTTCACATTCAATTTATCGTTAATATAAGCAAAGATGAAGCAAATTGTTACGCTAGCAAATTATTTGTTGTTTTCTAGCACAATCAAATATACCATCCAGCATCGAATTCATGTATGACAATATCTGATGATGACCAACATATTCAAATGCAAGTATGTGATCTCGACGATGCAGCTCATAGATGGTCATGGACTCAACGATTACTTAATGAAACGCACAATACTTAAAGTAAAAATGATCATTTGATATTGCGTGACACATCATGGGATTTCATTTTAGGTATGACAGTGCAATAATTGATATAACAAGTTTTCAATTTCCTGTAATAGATTTTTTTAATTTGTTTTGTTTTTAATGGTTGAATAAGAATTTGTTTATTATTTCATATTTTTGTTTTATTTATTTTTCCAATAGAAGTTATTAAAAAGGAATTAGATAAAAAAATAAATTGCATGACTCATTCTTTCAAATAATTTTGTTTACATACAAGTCTTTTTCTTTTATCATCTTCCATGATAATAAATTGAAGTTTTTCGCCATTAGTTTTAATTATATGTTATTTATATATTCTCTTTAAATGGTTCTTCTCAATGATGAAATTTATTAACTGAAGCATTAAGGAAAGAAATCTATCACGAAATCAAAAAATTATCTTGTTCATAGCGTCAAAATTAGCCGTACAATACTTTGTCTATTTTGAAAACAAAACATGTAACTAGAAAATAAACTTTTCTTTTTCAATTGTAAAGCTTTTCACACTGTATCTTGTGATGTACTTTATTTTTTTGAGACATCGTATTAGGCGATGAATCAATATGTCAGAAAAAGGTATTTTTTTTGTCCGAAGAAAAGTGTAATTTCGATTAATATTCATAACTTGAGACTCATGATTTACTTGAAGGTCGTTATTCTATCGATAATCAAAATAAAGTAAACAACGAAAGCATACGCATAGGGAAAAAAGATTTTTTTTCTCCTCAAAACATCGCACAAAAATATATGATTATCATAGTAAGATTCATTCTGACTGGCGATAGATGATTATATGTCACAAATAAAACTATCACTTGGATACACTACGACTTTCAGTGAACACTTTTAAACAACAGCAAAAAAAATGCCTGCATAATGTTTATATGGCGATTGTACAGTGATTATTATCTATGGTAATTATAATGTTATATCATATTGATGTGCATTTTTCAACGTTCTGGATGAATGCCTCTACCACTTGTATATATCAAAATCAAGGTAAAGCATATATATTTTTGACTATAGAATAGTCAAATATGAGATATACTCTTGAGTAGGAAGCCCATTTTATACAGATTCGAAAGTTGTCCATTTGGTTTTTTTTTCTTGTTGTTCTAGATCGCTAAAATCAATTCAACAAGTATTTTACAAATTTTGAATATTTGACGAAATGGCAACTAAACCAGTCAAACCAACACACAAAGTCGTATTGAATGAAAAATATATGAATGCTCTCAAGAAAAGATCACATCTCAGCGAAGCAGAAATTCGAGAAACATTCGGTTCGTATCTCGTAACATAGTTGATATCACACTCATAATCAAAATTAAGTTTGTGAGAAATTGTTCTACTAAACTAGATAAAAATATCAAATATGAAATTTAATCTTAGAGAAATTTCACTGACTTTTTATTAAACTGCAACTCATTACACTCTTCTTTTGTAGAAGACTTTCATGCAAATGCACCAAGCGGTCAACTCAACAAGGAAGAGTTCATCAAACTATGGAATGAAACATCACCTAAAGTCAATCCTGTTGATGGTATTGATGTAGCCGACCGAGTCTTCGCATATTTTGATCGAGATCATTCCGGTAAATTTTTTGTACGAATTTTTTTCTTTAGATGATCATGTTGTGGTTATTGTTGTTTAGGAAAAGTTGATTTTAATGAATTTCTGATGACTGCTGTTGTGATGACACCTGGTACACTATCGCAAAAGCTTGCACTGATGTTTATTCTATGTGATTTCAATCACGATGGTTTTCTTCAACGAGCTGAAATTGAAAAAATTTTTCTTCTGTCTAAATCAAATGAAAAACCGCTCGATGAAAAGGAATTCGAAGCGTTCAAAAAACATTTAGATTCAGTCTTTGCACAATTTGATGTTAACAAAGACGGCAAAATTAGTCAAAAGGAATTTCGCAATCTTTGCACTAATGACGAAGTTTTCAAAAAGTTGTTAGCCTGATTCATTTGGAAGTTCATATTGAAATTGAATTTTATTACTCGCAAAACTATTAAAATCCTCGATAGAACAATTATTGAACTTTAACAATTTTCTCATTGTCATGCATTTCCTTTCGAACATTAGATGATATAATAAATCGAAAGAAATAAAAGCATAGTTACTCAACAGTTTCTTTTCTTGTTTTTCTCTAATATCGACTAATTTGACTTTATGTCAGTTGCATCAAAACGGCCGACTTAAAATCAATTTTTTAGAACTTCACGGGAACTTTGGGTAGAAATCGAATTTTGAAACACTATTAGCTTTTCTTTGAGAGAACATTAAGCCAAAATAAGCAGACAATCACTTCAGGAGATGAATAGAATTGGGAACCGACGGCCTGGTACTAGATTGCATCTTGGGAGATTCGAATTTCCAGGCTTCCCATAGTGAGTTTTTTAACATGATAGATGGATATATTCTTTTCTTGTTTAGAAACGGAGTTTTTTGTTCAGAAATGGATGAAGCTGATCCGATTTAATGCGCTGATTCTGAATATAGGAATTTTATCGATTAAATTTTTTCTTAACATCAGAAAAGTTGAAACATACCTGATAAACCTATATTTTTCGAAAACCATGAAACATTGTAAGAATGTTTACACTAACAGAGAATAGAGAGAAAAACATTCTCAAAAATTTTAGAGGTTGGATGTTAGCTGACCGCTAATTTTAGGGGACCAACTGCTCAGACAACACTGAAAAAAAAAGATATTTTTTAGTCTCAGAAATAAAACATGCAGATTAAAAAATATTTTATACCATCATATAGAGCTTGGCTTGGAAAATCAAAAATGTACTTGATTCATCTATTGAATAGTTCAATTTACTTAGTAATATCACGGTTTTCAGACTAATTTTTGGCCATCTAGTTTTCAGTTTCTTTCAGAATTGTAATAAAGTTATTGATAACAATCGATCGACAAGATTTCGAAGTCTATTTCTCTATATTTAAATCTTGAGAAAACTCAATTTTCATTTGTATCCATGTGTCGATCTACATGCACATGCTCCACACCACCTGCCACCGATTCATATGAAATGTCGACAACCTTACATGGAGAAGAACAACATCATCTCTCTTCTCATTCATGAGAAACTTTTATGGTCACCATGATAAAAGATGGTCGTATACTTAGTGAGACACAGTCGGCGTTCTAGATTCAATCACAGTAAATGTCGCATAAAAAACTTACACTTTTCTGTGAAAATCACAAAAACTGCTTTCTTGTATAATTTAGTCGCCATCAGATCGCCGATTTTTATGCGATTTTGATCACATAAGGAACTATTATATAATTTGTACAGAAAGTATGTTTTTTTTTTATTAAATAACAGTTGCTTGGATCTATATCTATTTTTTCTGTACGATACTATTTAGAGTTTTTGATACAGTGTATATTGATGATATTAATTGTTATAAAGGCTTTTCATGGTCTTTCTATGATTATGTTATATTTCGTGTGAAAGAACGAAGTAAAATAATTAAAATATGAATTAATTTTTCGTTCTTTAAGCATTTGATCAATAATAATAATTTGTTTAATATTCATACCAATTGTGCGGATACTACTGAAGAATAGAAACAACTATATTTTTTCATCTGTAAAAACTAAAAAAAAGTCTATTGATCCAAAATATAATTAGTATACTGTGACAATAGAAATGTTTCTATTCTCTAGTAGTATCCGCATTGGTAAGAATTCTGTCAATGTATTCAATTTCATTTAATTTTTCCTTATTTTAGAGTCAAACAAACATCTCTTCTCTATAATCGACAATAGATATCAGCTAAAGAAGGTTTAGAATATGCTGAAACAGCTATTAAAACAACTAGATCAACATATAGATTTCAACAGAATAAACTTGATAATTCATTTCGTACTAGTACTCTATCAAAAGATCATTACGATCAGCAAACGGATTGACTTAAACAACCAAGTTGAAATTAATTGTTCTCCATGAGAAATGTGTGATAGAGACTCTGTGCGTTAGGTATTAACAGTCCCAAAAGGTTGAGGGCGCCCATCTAGGTTTTCCCTACAAAATTGTAGCCATCTTGCTTAAGTTTTAGCCAACAGCACGGTGTGTATGGAAGAATTAAATGATGACATTTGTTAGGACAAATCTATGGGCATAATTTCAAGTTGAAATTTCGTCATTCGCTTTTTTTTCTACATACTCAGAACTACGATATAAGATTCATGTACACTACATATACAATGTGAAAAAATACAACGATATGGTGTCCATTCAGCGAAGGTGTATAACAGCGAAAAGTAATATTGGGAAGAACAAAGTAGGAAAAAATCGAAATAATGAAAAATAGATTAGTGAGTGTAAGAAATAGCGAAAAGCATCTCAGTGGATATTTTTCTTGACGAAGTGAATGTGACTCTCGATCTTCTTTTCAGAATTATCCATACACTTTTCTACTTCTTGAATCTAATAAAGTGTTATTCTCTATTTGTTTTGAAATAAAAATTCTGCTATTACAATTGTTTTGCAGAAAAGATCTGTGCTAATCTAGAGCGACATCAAGATGATCATTTACAGCAAAATGCGAAGCAAAATGGAGAGCGCACACAAACTCAGTGAATGACAGTACTATGGAACCATGTACTACGTCAACATATAACGATTCACAAATGTAGTCGTTCGACGTGAGTGTCGTCCTGTAGGCTAATATTTCAGTAAAATTACTATAAATCTAAAGGAAATACTTAGATGCCCTTGTTACTATAGGATCTTAAATATTTGATTGGAGTTTACCTGAAGCACAGAATCAGAAATGAAAAGACACTTTCAATTTGGCAAGGTTTACTTGCCAGTCAGCATACAAAGTACAAAAATACCTTACATCGTATACCCCTATCTGTTACTAAATTTAACATCTTAGATTATTCTTCCTTTCGAAAAATATCTCAAGCACTTGACATTATTTCAAATATTCCAAGATTAAGAAA